ATCCTCAAATGTCTTTACAGATATTTTGAACACACAAAAGAAGTCCTGCCATTAAGTTACAAGTTCTTTAGGAGCGCCTGACACAGTGAGCGAATATCCTTCGTATGTGAGCTTCCAACAAGTATAATGGTCTAACTCAAAGTGAACGTATGAGCATCTTGTTAAGTTGAGTCGGTATTAATTCCCAACGTATGTCTTTAAGAGGTCCTTGCCTTGATATCCTCCAGGGTGCATCCCCGGTGCACCAGCCACAGGAGGCATCCCAAGCTGGGCCATGGGAGCAGCGTAGCCTGGCTGGGGCTGGACTCCAGCAACCTGCTGCGCTGATGGTCCTGCTTCATCATCGTCATCGTCGTCATCATCAGAGTCGTCCTGATTGTTTGATTTCTTTTTTTGACTCTCTGAAAGCAGAAAGGTGATGGTCATACTAAAGGTAATGCTGAACGTTAATTAACCCAGCTTCTACAAAATAAAGAAAGAAAGAAATAGTGGGTTGGTTTTAATGAAAACACACAGTCTTTTAGAAATAAAGTTATAGAATATACAATTACCCCAAAATGTACAGTGCACTGTAGCAGTGTGCTCCACTGGCTCTCATTACATAACGCTACTTCCCAGAAAACTCCCTTCACCTTACATCAATAGCACTGGAACATATTTCATTCTGTGATCTAAACTAAGTATATAAAAATATACAATCATTGTGCTTTTACTCAAATTGGCACGAAGAGTTCATGGAAATGTACGAACCTTGTGATTTCTGTTCTAACGTTCGCCTTCTTTCCTGCATGTCTTTCTCTGGGATGCCCTCCATACCATAGATCTCAAGTTCGATGTCTGTTCTTCCAGGAATTGCATTCGGTACACTGTCGATTGTCTCTTTGTGTACCTGAAACACATTCAAAGTGAGCCAGTGCAAACTGTCCTAATGAGCAAAGTATGCTCAGCATGTCCCTCTTCAGGATAACTAACAGCGGTCTGTTGTTTACACTTAAACTCAGGAAGTAAAGGAGAAAAAGGAACCCACCTGCATGCAATGAATAGCCAAGCCTGGACCAGTGTACAACTTCTTGTGGCAAATGTGGCATTTAAAATGCTTAGCCTTCTGATGCTGAATGAGGATCTTTTCATCATCAAAGTCTCGATTACAGTACCTTAAGTAAGGAGTTAAGGATTGTGTTGGAAACAGGAGAAAAACACACACAATACACCACGCAACACTCAAGTTCACCACGGCAGAGAATCACATGAAAAGAAAACAACACTATTGTTTCTGTAAGAAACCTCCCCGGGCTCTGTGGCGCAGTCTTCAGCCCGATGTAGGATCAACGACTGGGCAGCACAAGCTGTAAGGTTACACAACACGGGACAAACAACGATGAATTGACGCTTGATGCACTGATAGTCAGTGTATGGCTAACAGCTCAGCTAACGACAGCTAACATCGGAACGGAGCTAACGTTTCCTCTAAACAATCCCGTGAACTCAACGCAATCTGCTACTGAGGGACAGGTTATATGTACTCGACTGCAAATGTTTGGCATATTTCACGTACAGACTGGATAGAATTGATGATTTACCAGCCTCCAATGACCAAATTGTTTAGCCAGCGTTATCCTATAAGCCGAAAGAAAAGCTCACAGTGAGGCTAGCTTAGGCCTTCCTTTTGTCGAGCTAACGTTAGCACCTAGCCTTTCTACGTTGGCATTTCGTCATTCAGTCACAAGGATACCAGCACCATGGCTTCATCTGCTTCTTCTTCTTTCGTCCCATTCTGAAGGAATACTGAAAAAGAGGTCTTACAACGCGAAACACTGGTCTTATTATCTGTTTGACAACAGCATGCTGTAGTCCCGTGACAACGCCGAAAATGGCGCTTAGCTGGAGGAAGTTGTAGTGGACGCAGGAGGAGTGTCGCGTACGCAGAACGTTGACGTCATGCCGCAGACACGCCCCCATAGGTTTAGAGACGTGATCGTCATAGAATCAGAATCAGAATCAGAATTGTTTGTTGCCAGGTAGGTTTTTTACAGCTACGAGGAGTGTGACTTGGTGCGTTGGTGCATAAAAAATACAGATATACATATACAAATCACACAGAAAAATAAAATACTTTTAAAATATAAATAAATAAGCCAATAAAGAAAGAAAACTGTGCAGAAGACGGGAGTGCATTAATGTAATGCATATATACAGGGAGGGTAAAGAGTCAGTGACAGTGGGGGATCCAGGCCTTGTTAATGAGGCCGGCTGCAGATGGAAAGAAACAGTTTTTGTGGCGAGAGGTTTTGGTGCTGATGGACTGCAGCCTCCTGCCAGAGGGGAGAGTTACAAAGAGTTATCATATTGTAAAACCACCATAATATAATCCACCAGGCCAGGTTAGATCTCTTCACCGAGTTTCTATATTATTATTATTATTATTATTATTATTATTATTATTATTATATTGGTTTTCCTACAGGCTTCAAATTGTGGCCCCCGCTCCAGTACAGGAGTACATTCAGTATATAGGAAACACTTCATGACATAAAAACTTTGCCTAAAAAGAAGGCATGTTCAAATAAAATGCACATGGCAGAGTTAAAATAAGAGATAACTATATATATCTATGTAACTTTACTTGACTTAATACAATTTTAATACAATTTTCACTCTACTGTCTTTGTTCTTGTTTTAGGTATTATTTATCCTTATTGTGTAAACGCACTGGAGAAACCCAAAAATAAACCCCAGTATATTTAATATTGTATATAAAGAGAATAGCAATACATTTTACCTTGTTTTACAGAATATCATACCTCATATTTTATATCATATGATTACATAAATCGCCAAAAGCAGCAAACAAATGCGATTACTAATGTACGGTGTATGTTAAGTACCTGAAAGGTGTCTAAGCTGCAGTCACTGTGGATTTACTGCAGCATCTCCTGTCAAATGTCACTGTGTCAAACGGGAGCTCTCAATTAGATTAGGCCTCTATAGTTTCCGGCTTCCCTAAAGCATGTCATCGGCTGTTCAAGGTATGAATTGCAAATGATCCGTTTAATCAGTTATAAAGACATGTTTAACACCGCGCGGCAACTGGGTGGCCTTGTTAACTTTTCTCTCTGGCAGGATTGACGCTGCGCTGTTTCACTCCGGCTATCTATCTCTACACCTTTCTGAGCACTGTGTGGGCGGTGAGTCCAATAGCAGTGGGGGTGCTGTCTGACCTCGCAAGATCTCTTTGCACATACACACTGTTGCAACTTGTTATGTCGTCAGTGTCCGCTTGATGGAGACAACGTTGCAGAAATGGAAACTGGGTCTTGTGCCTTGGTATCACGGCTACGTTTGGCATCCAATCTGCGATTTGACTTTTGCATTCTGTACAAAATGACATAAGGCAAAAAGTATGTAGACACCCCTGCTCACACCTTTTAGTGCTTTTGGTTTGTTTTGTTTTTTTATGGTTTGGGCTAGGCTGCACGCAGGCTGTCTAAGAGGCAGGGGCGAACCAAATAAAAAGTGCACCAGCTGCCTGAGGTAGGGCACCAGTGCACAAAAAGTCGTGATGCATTTATAGTGAAACAGTCCCAGTCCCTTTCTAGCATGTAGGGAAGCATGTTTTTTTTCTTCGTTTTTAGTGCGCCCTTTAGTGCACTGCATCATGTTTTCTCCTCTGGAAGGGCACCACAGAGGGCCCTTTATCATGTTTTCTTGCACATTGGGCCAACTTAGAGGGTACTTTATCTACCGCAGGGGAATCCAAGTGGGAACTTTCCCCCCAAACATAGGGGGCAACAGTGCCTTTGGGTACTTTGATAAATTATGTCAACAACCTCTCTAATGAGGCTGTATTGGAACACATCCCCGCCAGCCATGGATAGTGGAGATTGTATATTTACGCATAGTTATATAATGAGACATTTAAAGTCACATATGGGTGCAACATACTTTTGGCCATATAGTGTCATAAAACAAGATTAGCCAAGGCACAGTCCAGTGCTCACTGATCAACCACCACTTTATGTCAAAAATAGTAAAAGCAAAAATAATTGTATTCGTACTGACTATATTAATTCCACACATGTGCATAAACACACATAAAACACACTGCATAAATTACACACACAAATCACACGCTGACAGAATAAGATGACAAAATGGATGAGTAGTACACTGACAATGCCACTGTCACACCATAATCTAGCTAGACCTGAAAAGATGTGAAGTGCATATTAAAACAGGGCCAAATTGTAACAAGTGTTGCTCAGCAGGCAGCATAGATGCAGAGACACTACAAATGCATTCAGACAGATTTTCTTTCCCTGCAGCTTCACTTGCCTTCTCTTTCTCACCAAGGTGAATGATTTCCTCCGAAATTGGAGATTTATGAAGGGGAAACACAAGTGAGGCGGCTTTCCTTGGTCGCCTAATGAATTTTTCATTGTATGCCTTCAAAACCGCTACTCTCCATATGGTTGTACCGGCTAGACAGAGAGGATGTTCACTGACAGCTTAAAGGATCCTCCTCTGAATGAATTATGGCTGATTCTTGTACGCTTGAACATTTTACTGATCACTTTGACGTGTACTTTGGGTTTGGAGTTTGAAGCTAATCTAGTTTCAAGGCTGCAGACCTGCTTGGTTTGAGCACTTTTATTTGCACAATGGGGGGTAATTCCTGTCCCTGAATCTTGAATAAAACTGGAGTACGTGTGAGAGAGCATGTGTGAACACAATGAGGTTTTTGAGCCGGACAACTGGACTTATTATGCTTGAAAACCTTCATTCACATGCACAGAAACATGCATTTGTAACCACTCACACAAGAAAAATGACCAGCACACTTAGCACATTCTGTTTTTTGCCTCTAATTTCTACATGCTAAAAAGCAAAATCACATGAAAAGTACTGTTGTCTGTATATAGGGCAGTCAGATTCACCAAAGTACAGATAAATAGACATTAATGAGACAATATAAATGAGGACAAAAATCAAAAGAAATCACATTTTGTTTCTGTATAAAACTGTTTAATGTACTCAAGTATGTACATATCAAATCTACAAAATATGCACAATGTTAAAATATTATCAGCGATTTACCCCTCACTCATTTTTGTGTCATAGCCCTTATTATGTACAACCCCAGACCATCTTTAACCAATTTTTAAATAGGATACATACAGGATATAGCTAACACATCACAATGCAGACCGACCAAACAATTTACACAACATACCAATATCACCAAGTAAAAAAGAAATCAACAGCAAATGCATGTTAAAATATTAAGCTGTATATAATTACATCATAATAATGTTTGTGCGAAGCAGTTACCAGTGTAACATGAGGTTAAAGTACAGTACAGTTTGAGACTTACAGCTCAGGGCTGGGGTCATTTTCTATCCTGGTTCGATCAATTAACAATTTCTTTTGTGACAGGAACTAATGAGAGAGCATTGATTTATTTCTTGCCCTCGCTGCCTCCTGATGAGAGAGTGAGACAACCCCGGCCCGGATGTAGTCGAGGTCAGGCATGTGTCCTCTTCTATGCTTGGTTTTAGAAAATTCTAGATTTATTCAGAATGGCCCAGCTGTCCTCATTAGTGAATGTTTTTTCTTAGTTTAATCCCACTGTTCTTAATTTACCAACTCACCAATCAATAAATAAAAGTCACTCCATTGCAAATTTCTCTGCAAATGCCCTGAGAGGACAAAAGAAAATACAAGAATTTGACTGCATCTCTGGGTTGTCCCAAGGGTGTCAGTGAGAGATTCTTTAAAGATCATGAACATTTTCTGTTACATTCGACTGACTCCTTACACACAAAATTATATTTCATCTTTTTTACGCAAAAGTAATTCTTGTAAGGGTACGTGCTTTTCCCCTGGTGCGCATAGCAATGTTTTGGCATCATTTTTGAAAGCTTAAAGTCTGAATGGCACTTCTGCTTCTTTTTTATATGTACACACAATGGTACAATTGTCACACACACAAAAAGTAAAAGACACAAGTTTGAGGTTCAAACGAAGCTGAACACAAATTAATCCTTCTCTGGGGAAGTGCCAAATGCTGAAGGCAACACTGAATAGTAACCCACACTTTCCCTCAAAGGTAAATTCATAACAACTATTGAAGGTGGCTGTAGACTATATACTCCATGCTCTCTCTATATCCCGCTGTCTGCTTAATCTAAACCTCTCATGCGTATGAGCTGCTTGCAACGATGACAAAACACCAACTAAGCCTAAATTCTCATATGACCTTGCTCTTTATTAACGGATGATGAGGGTGCAGACAGATTACAGGATTTTTAGGAACTTCTCTGCCTGAAAATGGTTTGTACTGCAGGGTTTTACTGCTGTCACCCTACACAAGAGGCAACTGTGCAGAAATACTTTCATCAGGCTGACGTCTCCGTGAGAAGGCACCATTGGATTGAGGAAGAGGCAGAGAAGGCTGAGCCATGTGGACAGGACTGCTCCTGCTTGTTCCTGTTGTGTTAGATCCGAGGCTTCTCATTTACCAACACAAGTGTTGCCAACAAACATCTCACTGGCTGATACTCTTGAGACAAACGTCCAGCAGAAATGTAGACAAAGGGCAGATGGAGGTTAGCTTGCATGGTAAGCGGGAATGATGGTAAGGCTTAACCCGAAAAAGGTAGCAGGTGGGCTGAGAAAGGTATGATGGGAGCGGCAGCAAGGGCTGATGCATGTCAGGTTCCTCGCTGCATCAGAGCACTGGATGCAGGAGGATAGTGGCTGTCAGACAACTCTGATCACCCTGCGATGAAGCTCCGAATATGGGGGCTGAGTTGACTCACCCAGCCAGGCGGTCAAGCATCTACCTATGGAGGAACAAAGGGGATACAGTGTCTTGTCTGCCTCCAATAAGCAGGTCACGGTGGCGGAGGCAGTCGCACGTCGAGCAAGCTGTATGCAAAGATGTTCCAGAAGACAGCACAGAGCACAAACAAGGTATAGACACAGAAGAAGATCCAAAACAGTGACTGCTCCTGGAGGCGCTGCTCGTAGTTTTGGAGGACCACCACACCCAGCGTCAGACCAACCACCACCCCTCCTAAATGAGCTACGAAGCTGGGATTGGGGCACGGAGGGAAGGCCGGAGGGTAGAACCGCAGCCACACTGCCCGACCAAACTCCACACTCACTGTAACCACACAGCGGACAGATAAAACACATATATTATCAAGGTGTAAGTATGGACCTGACAACTATTGCACTTATTAAAATGTAATAAAGCAATCTCTGCCATAAAGTAGAAGAACTAGAGTTACTAATATTTTGTAACCAACAGCAACTGGGCCATAGAGCCCATGACAACAAAGAAGATTTTACAGGATCGGTAATACAGCATCCGCTTAGTGTTTTCATGCTGTGCTGCAGTGGAAGGATAGTAACAGAAAGAGGGAATTTTGTACAAAAAAAGACTGCAACTTATGAAGATAGACATTTGATTTGTCTAACTCAAACTGCTGAAGCCATATAAACATTTGGAATTTATTTTTGCTCAAAAGGAGGACTGTGGATTTCATCCCCCATCACTTAAATCCGAAGCCCATTATGAAGGGACCCTTTAATTGCCAGTATGAAATGATTACATCAAACTGTATTAATGTTCATATGGGCACCTGAGTATTAAAGACAGATTTGAATTATTGTAAACCTATCCATAAATCCAATGGAGAAATAATTTTGTCTGAGCAGATTTGTTAACAGAATAAAAAATCAATAAAATGACTAAATCCACACGAGGGTGAAAAGGATAAGGTTTGCGCTGATAAAAGCTTTTTATATTCCTGATATTCCTGGCTCAAAGCCACATCTCTACTGAACAATATGGGTCAAGAAGAACACATCTTGTGGTTAAGATACAGACTAACAGACTAGCCAACTAAATGATCTCAACTAAAATAAAACTGGGGAGGTTCCCACTAGACATTATAGTCCTTTTAATATTACATTACATTGTCAGTAAGCAACCCACGATTTTACTTGACTTTGTGCCCTGCAGCACTTTGTATCATTAACATTTTGTATCTGTAATCGAGGAGGCAAGTGACGTACAAAAGGTGCCAGAAACAGTAATAATAATCATCTCCTCCACAAACATGTATTCACAACAGGTAAAGAATCATTTCTAAGCCACAATAGCATTAGTATTTTATTCTTCTTCAGTTCTTTGGGAGAAAAATGTCCAGGCCAGGAATCTGCCTTACAAATATGTCACATAAAAAATGAATAGGGGTGAACTTTGTATCGCCACGCTCAGTGAGTCTGCATAGTTAGAAATTCTCTATATGCTGGAGGTACACTCCCAAAAAGTTTCATATTGTTGCCTTTGGAGCAAAATTATATTTCTCTAATAAGGGACATTTGCTGTGAGATTAAATTCTGGAGAAGTTATAGTATCACAAGCAGATTAAACTGAGGTCAAAGAGGAATGTGGCATCTTTATTCAGACTTACTGCAGACCAGAGCCATGGCCATCCGGAATAACTTGAACTGACACTTCATTCCTGACCAATTCTACAGAAAGAGAGAGGAAGAGAGGATGGAGAATTCATAAGGACATTTTCTACAAGTTCTGACGATTAAGACAAAACAAACTGTGCTAGAAAGTCACATCCTCCTCAGACACATACACACACATGCTGACATGAAATGACATGAGATCTCACACTTTGTCTCAATTCACAACAATCCTGAAAACCCCCAGAAACATTCTGAACCAATCTGTTGTAGTTGTGTTAGATAATATGATTTTAGCTAGGGAGGAGGAGGAAAAACTCCTCCACCCTGACCCCAAGAATGTTGTGGAGGATCTGGCGGGGTACATATTAGTACCTTATTATACTTAATAGAGGTTCACCTCAGTCCCTTCTGCCTGATGACCCACAGGATGAGGAGTTTAGACCGAACAGAGCAGATATAGATGTCAGAGTGCAGTAAGATGGGATTTTGTCACATGTGGACATAAACCTGTGCACACATTTAGTGATCTTTGGGAAAAGGACAAACTGATAGTGACTGTGAAGAATGTATGGCATCTGTAGCTGGAGCAGCACCTGCTGGGCCCCAAAGTAGCTGCTTTGATGCTGTGGCAATGCGCTATAGTGACAGGACAACTGAGTGATGTGATAATCATCTACACACACACACACACAAAACTTACCATTACTACATTGGCCAAATGTGCTGAGACCAGAGCGTATACGCCACCAGATGATCCGACCACTGGAGCCGTCATATCGGTGACAGAAACTGCCAGAGATCCTGTAGTAATGATAAAGGAACTTGATTTCAGTCAATAAACACATGAGGACATTGTTGTATTAACTGAACATTAAAAATGCAACAAGATATCCAGGAAGGGGAACTGTACTATCACTGGTTTGGTTTGTATTTCAAAATATAAACAATTAAATTTGAAATTGTGACTAGGAGGTTGTAGGGGGAAATAAAAGGAAAAAAATTACAAAAAATACATTTACATATTCGCATACCTAGGGTATTAGAGTTTTATGTAGTTTAGATAAAATAAAATCAGATATATTAGACCATATGAGAGGTTCCAGGTTCATTCTGGACCTTGGAAACAGCAACTGTAAAAAACATCTCTGTCCAAGGTCATGAATTAACTTAAAAATCAGTAATAATTGATATTTGGGAAACACCAACAATCTGCAAACATAGCAAAAACAAACATTTTACTTTAAGTTGATACTTGATAATAAACAGTTGTCTATTGCCTACACATCCAGCAGATACGGAGCAACATTGGCATTCATTTGGAGTTGTGTTCCTGCCCACCAAGTTTTTGTGATCCACTGTTACTATGAAAATATTGATTATATGGATAAATATATTTTGTGCATATCTTCTGTAATGTGGTACAGTGCTAAAGGATATAATACTTTGTTTGTTTGTTTGTTTGAAATGTGTCTCATGCTACAATCATGAGTCTAAACTTCCACTATTTAGGAGGAAATTTGTTTTGTTTCCCTTAGAGGATCATATTGGCAGACACTGTGACTAACTGGCTAATTTAAACTGTTTTTGTACAAACTGTGACCATTTGTGCACTGAAAACATCTATTCTGAATGGCATAAAGGCTGCTTTGCTACTCACTATTTACTGTGGGTGTATTATAAATAGGCCTTCATGAATAGAAGCCTGCTCATACTGTACCAGCACATGCTGTGATTTTATGTAAAACAAATGCATTCATACAAAGTGGGCTGCTGCTAACAGGGAATTGCTCTCTTTAGCACCTTGGTACCAATTCATCGCGTGCACAAAAGATCCAATCAAGCATTTCTATTTATTTCTATTCAAGCATTCAAAAGTTTAAATATGAGGACATTCAGAGACAGAGTCCCCAGAGTAAATGTGTTCTCATTGCAGTCTGTGTGCAAGGCACAGGATACAAGAAAAAAGGAGATAGAAATAAGTTTAGCTGGACTACTAAATTACTCAAACACAAACTCTCTCTCCTTTTTTGCTCATTATTCTTTATTTTTTTCATTCTTTCTCGCTCTTTCCCTCCACTGTGCATACACTTCATCAACTCATTTCACAGTTTGTCTTTTCCTTCTCTTGTCTCCATGGCACTGACCTATGTACATTATTGATGCTAAGTATATGAGACACAACTGCCCACGCTGCATTGGAGAGAACAGAGAGCTGCTGATGAATGGTGTTATACTTTCCCTGTATTTTCACCCAGCTCAAATACAAATACACTTTATTTGCATAACACATAAATGTATGCATGTATATATACTTTACATTAGAATATACATATACACTCATATACAGTTTGGTATCACTGCCATTTGTTATTTATTTTAATCCCATTTTTTGAGTCTTTAGGGCTATGGATGGTGAGGATGGATTTAGCTGGTCTTTATCAGCCAGCTGCATAAAATGTAAATATTTTTAGGAGTTGTATTGTATATCATATTGGTGAGAGTCTGAATCACTTTGGGAAAGGAGGCTCCAAAAGTTCTCTTTTTATATTTACAGTTCTGTGATGTTATGATTAAGTTTACAAAGTGGGCCTAGTATTATATATTATATATGGTTGTAATTGTGCTCAGCACATGTACAAACAAATCTCAAAAAATAATATTTAAACTGACTAATCATTAAAAGACTGTCAGTGACCAAAGAAGTAGCTTTTGGCAGTGGAGCTCCTCTTATTCATGACTGAGAGTGTCATTGTCAGCTAAGCTGGAGGCCCAATACCTTACTTCCTTGTTAAAAGCTTAATGGTCTGCTAATGTCACAGAAACAATCACAGTGTCATAACGCTGTCGTAAATAAGGCTGCTTATAAACAGTACTTGTATTGGTTATTGTTGATCTGAAATGAATGTAACAGCTTGGACCACAAACACACTGAATGTAAAACTGAACTGAAGACAGTCGTTGCTGAATGTCACGGCTGTATGAATGGTGACACATTCACTTACTGATGTGCATAATAAAGTGCATTTGAAGGGAGATGCGACTGCTTAGCTTGGTACGGGTAAAAAAGTTAACAAACTACTACTAAGTCAGTGACTGTGAATCTTTGAACTGAACTTCTAAAATCAGCAAAGTGATTCATGATTTCCACCTCTAAATGTAGCAGTTGTAATGTCCAGCCTTCATTTAGTCTTCTTCTAAACTTTTAAATCAGTTTATGGTCCAGCAAGGGTATGTGTGGCTGGTGGTGTATGAGAGTGTATTAAATGACTGTTAATTTCCTGAGACGTGGAAACATTACTCTTGTCTGTATTTATTTATAATCCCACTCCTTGCAGTGGTTCTGGAACAAGGACATACAGTCTTTGCTCCATGGTAAATAAGCAACGATAAATAGGCCCACTGAACAGTAAACAACATTTAGATATTTTAGATTATTATTAAATTATTATTAGACCAGTGTGTAGGATTTAGTTGCGGATTGTAACCGTTTGAATACAACTCAGCCTTTCGAGCATGTAGGAGAAACTACATTGGCCACAAGACCCACGAAAAACACAAAAAGTCCTATCTATATCCAGTGTTTGGTTTGTCAATTTTGGGCTAATGTAGAAACATGCCCGTTCAACATGGCGACCTCTGTGGAAGAGGACCCGCTCCCTCTGTAGATAAAAACGACTTATTCTAAGACAGGTGGTAATACATAAATGAAAACATACTGATGAATATTATATATTTATTCCATTTCTGCCAATAGATCCTCCTAAAAGTTGCGCACTGGACCTTTAAGCCCGTGTGAGTTCTGATACAAATGTAGCTCAGACCTCAGACTGCTGTAAAATCAACTGACTAAGCTTAAACATTTGGCCGACCTTGTAACATTGTAAATTAATGTCGTTATGTGGTTTGGACGATGCTCAGAATTCTTTTTGCTGAATTTCACCCGGCTACGTTTAGTCTCTCCTCTGTCTCTCACAAACATACACACAACTAGAGAGTACATTACTCTATTACTATCAGCATACTGCATATAATTGCAGTGGACAGAAAGGGCTCTGGAGTTCACAGATATCAAATCACCATAAGGAGGGATGATAGGATAAGCCATGGCATCTCAATCAATCATGGTGCTATTTATGGGAGTGGGCACAGCATGAGGTGAAAGAAAGCATACGTAGACACTAGACCACATACACAAGAATGAGAAAATATATAGCCACACATATATTACACCATACAGACAACAAACACAAGTGGTATATGACATACACATATACCATGATACAAAAACATCTAATAATGAATTCCCTTGATGTCCACGTTCTTACTGTGGCCTCATTCTGTCAGTATGGTTGAGGACCTTTGCTTTTTTATTACATTTTTATGGTGATATTACTTTGGATTCATTGAGAAAAAAAAAACACAAAGGACGGGAGGTACAGAATTGTAAGAGTTAAGGTGTTTGAACAGTAACACACATAATAGTGTCACTAAACCAATGACAGAATTGCAAATAGTAACCATACTGCTTATTCACCTGGGAATAGTTTTGTCAAAAAGCACACCACATCATGTTGTTCATGGCAACAACTTAATTGCAGGAAACATAAAATAATAAAAAATTGGAAACCAATTTGAGAGAAATAGTTGCATACAGTTGTTTTGTCACATCTTTTATATGAGGAACGGGGATACACAGTGGACGGTCCTTCAATTCAGTTCAGTCAACTGTTCTGAAGGTGCACACAAATCAAAGAATTAACTGAATGTATAAATAAATTATATTAGGATTATAGTAATTTCAGGATATTCTAATTGCATTACAGTTTTTTCCTGATTTGGCCAATCAAATACACTCAACTGTCCATACCAGGTAGAACAGCTTGTAGTGTGCAGCTTGTGAGAAATTCTGCAGTTCATCTCCCCAGCATCAAAATGGAGAAGAAATTGCTTCAGTAAGAGTAAGAGAGTTTGAAAACCCTGCTGTCTTGTGTGTTTGATAACCTTTCAAAACTGCTGTGAAATTATTCACAATTCTCGTGGATAACCCTCAGTGAGTTTCAAATCAGTGCGCTGACTTCTAACCCTGTGTTTTCAAAGGAATATTTGACTGAAAGTGAAATGAAAGGACTTTTCAAAAGCTGGGGCTGACATTTAGCACATATAAATAAGAGTTTCCTCTTTGCCTAATGTGTTGCCTTCTCAGGTGTGTGAACCATAATGGCAGCAGAGGTGGTGTAATAACAGCATCTGACTCACCAGATCATTAAACACAGCAGGGTTATCTGAGCAGCTAGGTGATTATACACACAAACACACACTCACATGAGCATCCACACTGTTTTCCTCTGTCTCACAGATTATTTTTCTGCTATGTTTCTGAATTGATTTTTAAATTAAACAAATATTTAAGCAGCCTTAATTAATTTTCTAAAGATTTCAAATCAAGCATTGAATCTAATTGTGACCCTCAATGATAACACAGAGCGGTAATATACACAAAGATTTCCGCTCCCTAGGTTACACCCTTTTAATGCACTGTGCATTACTTCCTTCCTCTTTAAACACACACACACAACAACACCTGGTTCAGGACATCTCCACCTTTGTAGTCCCTGTGTTTAGGAAGTGTGTCTAGGCAGGGTGACCTCCATCCCTGTAATTAAATTGGTTTAATAACATTATTTTAGTTTATGCATGCACACAAACACACACAGACAGACAAGGACACGGTCTTTCACAGTCCCTCAGCAGGCCCCAGGAGGCCTTTAATTTTTAGAGTCAAAAGTGGCATCTCATTTATCTTGGCTGTTCTTCCAAACTGGAGAGAAAGGACAAAGGACATGACCGGGAAAGAATCAGCACTCATAATGAAAAATGTCAACAGTTCAGCTGCATATTGAGTTGACTGAATGTGCCTATAGTTGAGTTTGGGGTTGTGTGACTTTCTCTCTTTTTATTGTTTAATTCATTGTCTACATGTCGGTTTTTCTTGCCTGTTGCTGCACCTGTCTTATGCTCTTTGTACAGGCAGATCCCTGTTTTATTGTGTCTACTTACTCGTCTGATGTCCGTAAGTGAGCCCTTGTGTGTTTATCTCTATTGTTTCCATTAAAGTGTCAGAGTGTGTGTTGGCCCTGGAGGGTCATCAACCTCTCCCTGAGTCATTACTTGACCTCTGAACTCTTGACTCCTGTGTGTGCCAGCTGAGCCCCTCTCTCCACTTCACTATTGCCTGTTGTGTTTCTCCACACAATCTAGCCGTGTCAATGTGTAGCAAATTTAAAGTCGTTGTTTGTGTTGTAACTGATTGTTTAGGCTGTCTTCCACAATGCTCAAGGGTTAATCCAAACTGTTGCATTAAATCGAAAAGAATATTGTTCTCTTCGGTTCAATATTCTCATTTCAGTTATATTTATATACTGAAACAATTCCAATTCCAATTAAGTCCCATTAACAGTAAATGTAAAGTGTTCTTGTGTTACTGTAAGTATTAAGTAACTGTAACTGTAAAACATTTCTATTGTTTATTTATGTTTTGTTTAGGGGCAGGCAAAATTTGATTTTTCTTCTCTGCTCCTTTTTGGTCATTGAATGTATAAATAAACTTGTCTCGAGTTGTGCATTACCATTAGCAGAACAAATGGAAATGAAAAGAAATGTGCTTATATGGGACCTCATTGACATACTGCATTCCCTAGACCCTAACTGTCATGCTTAACACATTTTGGCCTCTCAAATTTGATGTGACAAAGATACGAAGGCACATTAGTCTACAGCTGAACAATAAACTTTACCATAAAAATTTCCGACAGTAAAAAATACATTTTAAACAGTAAACCTTACTGGAAATTAAATAATTAAGTATCTAGTAGTCATAAATGCCATAAAAAATAAATATAAATAAAACAAAGCCCTAACCCTAACCTATATACACCACATATACAATGATAAGCAAATAGCAGCTAATCACATCCACCCACTTGTTGCTAAATGTTCTGAGAATCGTGACTTTGGCTAGAGTCCTTCTGCTGCCAAAATAAAAAAAAAGCCCAGTCAGACATAGCAAACCCAAACATCACAGCCAACACAACCATAACGTGCCTCCCTTCTTCTGCCGGTGGTCGATATTTAATTAAAACAGCAGACGTGTGTGTGTGTTGGTCTGTGTGCGTACATAAGTGTGCGTGATTTATGGCGCATTTCCCCCTCATTTCACTTCGAGGTTAATGCTACAGGCCACCGTAGCTAGTATCCCCAGGGCGTTTGTCACTGACCCCTGCACACACACAGACACACACACACACACACACACACACACACAAATAGAGACTCAGAGATGTAGAGAGAAAAATTAGAGACATCATTTAAAAAAAAATTTGCACACACAAACACACACACACACACCATACTCACTGCCACAAGGCATCACATTTCCATTCCCCAAAAATCTCTAACCATCATCTCAAAATGTAGCACAATAATTCCACTCCAGTTATCTCGCAGTGTCACCTCTGGGCACGAAGTTTAAAAAAGGCCTTAAATGTTTTGTGTTTGGGGAGGGAAACCAACAGTGGATGGCTTTATTAGTGTGAACTGATTCAGCAGAGAAAAACAGAGCTCATGATCACACACACACACACAATACAGACTTACTGTCTCAGCTGAACAGAAATTGCACCAGTGCCTGAGGTTGATAGGGAAGTAGAAAGAGAGCAGTGACATTTTGTTCAAAGCTGTGTGTCTGCTTTTTCTTTCTCATTTGTAGTTGCTCGCTCTGTTTCTCCTAAATCTCACCCACCACCTCTCCTCTCCCATCTCTAGGTTTCTCATATCCTGGTCCTGCTCTCCAAACCCTCTCAGGCTTATTAACACTTATGAATTCATCTCCCCTCCTCCGTCTCTTCGCTCTCCTCATCCCTACCTCACAAACTCCCCCTTCCTATTTCAGTACTGCTGTGTGAGTGTGTGTGTTCCTCTGATTGACTCTCTCCGCTCTGCCCTATTGTACATGACCGTAGGGGGATGCAGGGGCCTTTGATGGGCCACTGACAACCCCCTACATCCCACCACGTCTGATAGAAGGACAGAAACACAAGGCCATCTGTCCTCAACATCCCACACACACACATACGCTAAATTTTCTCATTGACCAGCGTCCACCAACACACTGGCTGTAACCTGATAGGCTGTTGAATGCATAAAAAACACACAACAAGCAGATGGAACAACGGTGGAGTTGAAAGTGTGTGTGCTTTTGTGTGTGCAGATAGGAGGGAGGGAAATGTATGCAGAGAGTGGAGAAGGACTGAAATTGTAATTGTTGCATGTGTGTGTATGTGTGTGAGACAGAGAGACCTCACACCCACCTGCCAGCACGCCACACACGTAGACCAGTCCGATCCGCAGGGCTCCGTGGACCATTTCAAGAGGAACTCCCACCAGCAGCTGCATGGCCATGTTCAGGGTCAGGTGTTCAATCCTGTAAAACACACACACACACAATCACATGGGGTCAAAGAGAGTGAAAATTCGTATTTAGTTCAGTATGTTCGTATGAGCTAAAATGAGCCACAATAATAACAGAAATTGGATAATGATATAAAAAGTGAATTATAGACTCAGTGATAGTTGTAGTTATGGTAATGTGTTCTAATACTACTTTAATCAACCTTCAATATAGTGAAATAAAAATCAGTTTAGTACACCATGAACAAATGTACATCAAGAGAGTTAAAAGTACTCGTACAGTATACAGTAAGTGTTGTAAAAAGACATTTAAGAATTGAATCAGCAGTGTGTCTTTCCAGAGGCGTTGTCCCAGTTACTCTGATTAATACAAAGAACATACTTTTTGCACTGGAACTACTTTTTACTGATGAAATATGAAAAAACTACTAATGACAGTTGTGTTCTATGAATATTAGAGTAACCTGACCCTGTTTCAGTAAAGACATGTTTGTTTTGAAATTCATTAAACTCAGAAAAAGTATATTAATCATAACCCTGGGGCAAATCATGTACGGCTGCAACTAATAATTATTTTTATTATTGATTAATCTGTTGTTATTTTTTTGCTAATCACGTATTAATCTTCAAACTGTTCTCGTTTTTTAAAATCCAACTATACAATGCCAAAGATTATTGAATTCAATAATACAATCTTATTTAAACATGTTTTGGTTTTGAGAACTGGGAAGGATCAGCGTTGCTGAGCTGTTGGCAAGATTAGATAGTCCATGTATGTGTGTTTGCAGCTATTTTTTCCTTATTCACTGTGGCTTCTGAACACTGCAAAACAAACTAAACACACCAATGTTGACCTGGTTCCTTTTTACATGTCTACAAATACTTTATAAGTCTCCAATCATTTTTCAATCCATAATTTACTGATTTAGATTTTTCTCAGAAGTTGCAACCACAAGCAGCTTAAAAACTACTTATTTCCCTTCCAATAAAATGCTCCAAATGCAGAGACACGGATGTGATAATAAACTCTGTACGTTCCATTTCCTCTTGTGGGTGAGGTGTCAGATGATTGACAGGAAACACACTCAACACTGGCACCATGCAATGACAAAACAGAAGCAGTGACAAAAATCAAATTCTGGGTTTATGTTTGCTGCGATGGAAATTGTTTTCCTTGGTGCGCAAGAGTGAATAACAGAAAACGGCTTCTTCTGAAAGGAGAAGGAAAGAGATCCAAACTACGTATAGAGGAAAAAGAAAAGGACAGCATAGATGATTGACACAAGTAAAGGGAAAAAAACTAATTCTGTGACAAATGAAACTGACAAAAGCAATAATAGTGGAAATTCTTAGTCAGTTTGGCTCAGATATAGTTAATAGCATTTTCCAGTCCAAGATTATTACATCACTGACCTTAAAAGCGATAATACTCATATCAGTCACCTAGTGTAAGAGTGTGACCGAGTATAAGAGTGTGCAGTGTGTGGTTTTTATTATAACACATTATCACCTGCATGTTTCCTCCAATACCATATCATTATGCTTGCTCACGGACTCACACATGCACACACACTCACAGAACATCTGCTCCTCCCTCAAAACACACTGTTATGGCCATCAACAGATAATCATCAACACACTCCAGTGCGCTCAAACATTACATATGAACACGGACAGAAGCACACATAGTACACACACGCGCACAATAAAGAGATGAAAGAGGTGCTGCAAATGTACCCAAATCCGCTCACAGCTTGTGTTTCAGTGTGATGACTATAAGCAAGGGATAGCTTGTTCACACACACACGCACACACACACACGCACACACATTCACTGTGCCCTTCACGGCTGGAAAGTCCTTCCAGCCAAACCTCAGTCAGCAGCACAGACACATTCGGATGTCACAGCAGAATCCAAAAGGAAAGCGAGCAAGCATAATCCGGCCTCCCTCCCCCCTTTTCCCCCTTCTCTCTCTCCCTTTCTCTCTCTTTCTACCTCATAATCTTCATCATTGCCTCTCACTTGTTCCAATCACTTCCCTTTTCTGTTTTCTGTCTCTGACTGAATTATATTGTCATCTCCGTTACACATTTGCTGAAAGACAGATGACAGAACAAAAGCGAGAGACAGAGACGACTCCCCCCCCATTCGACAGTTTGACAAGCTGAACCTGTCGAAACTGTTGGTGCATTTTGAAAAAAATAAATAAATAACGACGACATCAAACAGCTTCTTCATCCTAGAAATGAATACAAACATTCCCCAAACAAACCCGCAAGTATACAAACACACACACACACACACACATACAAACAAATCCCCCAACACAAACAAGAAAAAACAAGACAAGGCCAATAATCTATTTAGTTTGAAACAACCCTGCCACCTCAACCACAATGCCGACAGAGAGGATCGTTCCAGTGATCAGAGAGACAATGGGGGATATTGATTGGCTGGGAGAGGCCTGTCCAAATGCAGAAGGACAACTCCACTCCAGATAACAGCGGCTATCTATTTCTATACCGCTAATGAGGCTGTGAGGGATGGGCTGCACTGTCAGGCAGATCTGTAGATACCCATGAGAGGTTCTATTGTGTCCAGATGACCATGGTCTTTCAGGGCGCTCCACAAAAGCGCTGTTTAATCTTTTCCTTTTTTTTTAAACCATTGGCTCACCAAACTACAGCTGGACTTTACAATTAGTTCATTTTTCTGCACAACTCAAGCACTGAATTCAGAGAAACTTCTTTTTACGTCTCTGCTGCAGAAAAACTGCACTGGAACTACTTTGTGCACCTGTCAGGCAGGATCTGTAGATTTACCCATGAAGAGGTGTCTATTCTGTTCCAGACTGACCATGGTATTTCAGGCGCCCACAAAAACGCGCTGTTTAATCTTTTACCTTTTTTTGTAAACCATTGGTCTCACCAAACTCAGCTGGACTTTACACATTTATCATTTTTCTGCAAACTCAAGCAGCTGGAATTCATGAGAAAACTTCTTTTTACTTTCTCTGCTAGCCAGACAAAACTGCACTGGAACTACTTTTTTTACTGATGAAATATGAAAACTCATGACAGTGTGTTCTATGAATGTATTCAAGTAACCTGGACCTGTTTCAGTAAAAACCATCGTTTGTTTTGAAATCTTTCCTTACACTCAAGAAAAGGAAATCTTAACACATAACCCCTTGGGCCAAATCCTGTACGGACAATTCCAACTAATAATTAATTTTAATTATTGATTACTCTGTTGTGTATTTTTCTGACCTAATCACGTATTACATTTCAAATGTCTCGTTTAATCCAACTAACCAAATCCCAAAGATATTGACTTCAATTAAATACAATGCCTTGATTAAACAACTAAACAATTCCCAATTCAGAGAAACTTCTTTTTACGTCTCTGCTGCAGAAAAACTGATGAAAAGATTGCGATGCATTCATGAACAGGAAGGAGAACACAAACTGGACAGCCTCTCATAAAAGAAACATGACACATTGTATCTATCATTGTGGGAAAAACCTTTCATCATAATGAGAAGTGGACAAAATCAGGACAAATGCAACTGGAAAGAAAACTTTTCTTGCTGCAAAATGTTTAGAGTCATGGTTTAATCTTGCAGGCACATAATCTTCCCAAAGTTTTCACAGCTGCTACAGACACGCTGTTTTTTTTTGAGAGAGAGAGAAAAAGAGAGAGAGAGTCTGCATAACACTGTTTTGGGGCCAATATTTACACTCTGTTTTGGTGTTGAGAATTGGGAAGGATCAGTCTTACTGAGCTGTTGATGGGATTACATGGTTTGTAGATGTGAGAGAGTAAGTCTCTCTCTCTCTGTGTGTGTGTGTGTGTGTGTATAAAAGTGAAACATGGAAACAGCGGTATCAGTCAGGCACAAAAGCTTTTCAATAGACAGTGTCACTGTTAATGATTATAAGCAGTATTGTCTGTACTGGTGGACCAGTGGATCAGGTACACACACTGTTATGCTTTTTAATTCCTGTCCTCATCTGGAAAGACATGAATGTGGTTACTTTGCCTCCAAAAGCTAGAAAATATTATATTAAATTAGAGAATATGTTAAGAATCAATTGCCCTAGGCCTAGGGTGTCACGAGAAGTTTAATTACACTTGTTGTACGACCCACATGCACACCTTATGAAGCGCCATGCTCGCCACTTTTACCTTCCAGGGATTTATTACATTAACTTCATGTATGATTTAGAGTACAGAGACACTGAGAAATGTGTCTCAGTGCGTCTTCTAATGAAGGTTGCTCCCAGTGGCTCTGGTATCAGCATTAGCAAATGGGCTGAACTGGTTACACCAGCCAGCACATAACGACCAATGTTCTTCTGTGCCATCGCCCCAAAGGATCCAATATGAAGCAGTATTTGAATTTTTATGCTGCCTGAATTATTGAAAGTAATCTGAAATTTCTGAACAAGAGTTGCAGTTTGTGTGCAATAATCACAACCATCCTTTGAAACTGAAATTTTTGAAATCTGTTAATGCACTTCAACTGGATTTAACAACAACAAAAGGTTAATCATCAAGGTCATCATTATATTGTGGAGTGTTTTTTTCTTGTAGTCAGGAAACTGTGAGTTCAGCTTAAAGTTATTTACTGCTTCCCCACCACCTTGTCTTGAAACATGTAGCAGATACTGAGGTGTAGGCAGCTCACAGAAGCTGCCAAACCACAGTGAATGAAGTTTCACCTATTGTAGTTCCACCATTCAAAATCAGAGATGATATTAGAAGAAAATGTAAAAGCACCAACAAATCAATAGAGGCATGATACAATTCATCAGAGTCATACTAATAAATAAACAATTTCCACTGAAAATCTGATGTACTGGTAGACTGAACACGTCTCTGTCAGATTGGACTCCCACAACCACTTACCCCAAGGACATTTTCAATATGTTTCTGCCTAATCAGTGCATGTTAAACATCCCACCTCCCTCCTTTTATACTTCCATTTGTCCCCTCTAGTTCATCTTCTAACCTCCCTCCCCCCCAACACCACCACCTCCAGGTTCTCCTAATTAAATTACCATTTTATTATTTCTTACTATTGCCTGAGACTACATTTACCCAGAAGGGTAATTAAACCTGCATGACCTGGCCTGAACTGATAATAAAATAGTCTGTGGTGCTTGTAGTGGCAGAGGAGAGGAGAGGAGAGGAGAGGAGAGGAGGATATTGACTGAAGAAGTATATATGGTAGATTTTATTAAATTATTGTCAATGTAATATTTAGTGGTTTCTCTGAGCAGAGGAGAGTGATTATGGAGACAAATGTTCCTCACACTCAGATATGACAGCAGCATTGCAGTATTACACCAATAATCTGATAATAATTGCTCGTTTAAGAACATGATACTTTAGGTATCCCACATAATTATTTTTCACTTGCTCATTTGTTTTGTAACTTCACTTACAGTGAAGAGTATTATGAACTGCATCCAAAGACTCATTAGCAACTCACAATGTTTAATTTGCAAATCTCCTCTTGCTTTTCGGCATTTTTCCTTCATGACTAAAAAGGATTTAATTGCTTTCAGTTGGCGTTTCTGTTAATGAAATTGTTATGTAACAAGCTCTGACTCACTGAATTTTTCAAATGCCATAAGGCCAAACCAAAACAAAATATGCACTATCTCTGGTTTGTGTTTATTAATGTCATTTCTCTGATCACAGGACTGACTGAATTGTAGAGGATGAGTTCAGGTCAAAATATCTCATTTAGGTATTACCAGCTTCCACAATTTGGATGCTGATGATTATAGAAACACTCAACTGTGTCCTCGGGAACTGCAGTACGGCCTAATGCTCATAATTAGAAATCCAATAGCGAGATGTGAACTCACCCAGTGTGCATGAAAATGTAGCTGAGGTACCGCCAGGCCTGGGCTCGGAGCTGGGGGTGGTAAGGTAAGGGGCTCTTTAGGAAGGACGGGCTGGACACCTGCAGGACCAAGCGGTCCAGCTGGAAGCCATAGTACATGAACACGGCTACCTGGAAGAGAGCACACGGACAAATACTGAATAAGTAATTTACGGGGGATTGGTATATACATCACAGTAATTATGATTAAATATTGTGCAGCATCATAAATCCAAACAAATTGCTCTAGTAATTAGATTGTTGAAGTTGAACACAAACTTTAAACTTAATTTCTTTACTTATCTTCGAGATTTATCTGTCAAATTATATTAACTAATATTGATTTTCAAAGAGCAGATGATATTTCTTGAAAATTTTGAAGTAATTTGCCTTATTTGGATACAGATTATGACATTGGACCCGAGTTATTACCAAACCTAAAAAAACATAATATACAATTTAACGGTACCCTGTGGATTTTTCTTGTAATAAACTCAGTTATTTTGACATCGAGTGTTTTTTACAACTAAAGAACGTGTTGAAAGATTTTCCATCCTCATAAAAAAATTACAAAACCAATGTTTGATTTAAAAAATTTTAAACCTGCATTGTTTCTTTTTTGCCTTTTTCTGGTACTTTGCTACATTTCTTCCTGTGTCACTGCACTAACTCTAAGCAGAATAGCGTGGAACAGAGGGTCATATAATCAAAACATAACTCTATAGCGCTGCAATTCCACAGTGCACCTTTAATAAGAGAGGGCACACATATTGGTCTCACACTCCCAAATAATTTACCTCAGCAATGGTGATAGCCAGGATGAGCCAGGGTGGGGGGCAGTAGGTGTAGCTGTCAAAGTACCACTTGCGGTCAACCTCGCGGGGGAGCGTCTCGTAGGCAACGTGCCGGACCAGTCGCTGAGAAAGCCCCAAGCCTACCTCATCTCTGAGACTGCAGCCTTTTAGCTGCCTGCTCCCCTGCAGAATGGCCCTCCGGAAACTGTTGGATCGCTTGTTACTCATCTGTAGAAAAAGGAGGAAGGAGGTGAGGAAAGTGATGCAGGAAGAGGAGACCGAGGGAGGCAGAGAGGAGACCAAGGCCGGGAAGAAGGAAAAAGGAGGAAGAGAGGTCAGAGATTTTTACTACTTTCCTATCAGTGGTTCAGCAGATTGCTACATTAACGAGCATCCTTTCTTCCTACAAATCAGCTGTTCTATTTAAGATGTGAACATTTCAAGATACTTTATTTTGGTGAGTATATATCAACAAACTACTCGATATACAACTGGAGCCTCAACACACAGGTAGTCTGGGTACAGGCCCCATACACACATACCAATCCTCCTCAGTCCAGCACACTGACAGACCCCTCCCTCCTTACCGTGGCAACAGAATGCCTAGACCTTCTCCTAGCAACCACCAAACGATTCTTTACATTTGTTTCTGTCCATGAAGAGTCCATTTCCAAACAAATAATGTTATATATCCATTTTCTCCTGGGTGGGGACCTTGCAAGAAGAGCCTTCCAGTGATGGAAGATCCCGTCAGTCAGTATACGTTTGTTTAAGCCGGTAAAAATGACTTTTCTGCTCTAATTTTAAAAGCACTGCCATCTATTTTGATTTAGTGCAATCATTTTTATAGCACAGGTGTCATATTTTTCAAATGGTGGGCTTCTCAAAACTCAGCCTGACATTTTTTCACTGGCATTCACAAGGATTTTTTCACTGTTTTCTCATGTGAATGAGTGATTAATTGATTAATTGAGAGAATAATCAGTAGATTCATAAATAATGTTAATAAATAATATTTTCGGTTGAACATACATGCACAAAACGCACCCTCACACAAAAAAGTGGGTATATCCACAGATATGACTTCCCCGTGAACTCTCATGTTGAAGTTATTCATGGAAACTCCCTCGGACCAAGATGTAATTTATAGTTCAGATAGAGAATTATGATTGAACACCAGAAATCTGTCCTTGACTAGATGCAGAAATCATGAGAGCACATGCATTTATTCCGCACCCCAAGGGTTGAGACAGATTCTGGTTTATGTGGCAACTTTCTGCTTAAATCACTGCTGCTCTCCAAGCCTTTTATTACACTTGCTGTGTGATTTTTTAGACTCGCCATGATGATGCAAAGACTCCCATCCCACTTCTCTCCCACAGCCCCTTACCTCTCTCTCTGTCTGTCTCTTTCTTACTCTGCTCTGTTTATGTCACACTCCATAACTCAAATCTACTATTGTTTTTGTGTCTGTAAGATTGCAGGAAGCCCAGATGTGTCAGTTAGTGGGTGTTATTTTAAGGGCAACATGAGTGAGTGATACTGTTTTCAGCAAGGGCAGAGATTGGCAATAGAGATAGATCTAATGTGGCTATCAGCAATAAAAGTAAAAGAAATGGTGGATGGATTTAACTACTGCAACTTCATAAGCCACAACTTTAAAGGGTTGTCTGTGTTTTCAAGCTGGGATTGATGTTTATTCAAGTTTATCAGCCTTTCTGAGAAAAATGAGGAACATTTTCGTTTGAAGATAGTGGACACACTTATCTGTGATCAGCTTGCAAACAAAGGTACGTATCACAATTCATTCCAAGCACAGTGAGGAAAAAAATACAGATAAGAAGACGGATGTAAAATCAGAATATCAATAAAATCTCTGTATGAACAGTTGGCTGATAGTTCCTCTGGCACTGTTTAATGAGACTTTTAGTGTCCCTGCATGTATCGCTGTTTGGAGATAAACTTCAGAAAAAGCCAATTATTTCGGCCTTTATGTCTGGCACAGAGAGCTGTGGGAAAATGATTATGGGTTACCATGGTCACTTCCAGACTGCACACACACACACACA